ATGATCCAAGTCTTCATTGGAGGTAAGTGGGGGTTGCACTAGAAAAGGGAAAATTAAAAGGTAAGAAAAAATGAGTTGTGAGCGTTACATTTTATTTTATATAAAATAAAGTATCTTTTAAAATATATATTCTGTGTTAGCCATATCCAGCTTATCTTTAACACATGGTAAATGGGCATTAACTTCCTTGATGGCACTGAGCTACCCCTCACTGTTCTGGATCATTTCTATTCAGTATATGATCTCAACCAGTATCACAATTTGCATTTAATTTCCCAAAGCTGTAAACCCTATTTTTTTTTAAAACAACAGCAACAAAGACATTAAGGGATAAGAACAAATTAAATGGGATTGTAGATGAGTGCAAAATAGATTTCCTCATAAGATGGTGTGGGATTTAAGAAGGCTCTACTGAGGCTTTCAAGACAAATATGTTAGGTTTTAGAGTTAAAGCTTTATACAGAATGACAATGTGAGGACCCATATATAATAGGAAGGTGGTGTTGGCACTCTTTTCTCCAGTGTGTCCCCCTGGACAGTGTCTCACAGCTAGATCCATGGTCCAGCCCTTAAACCAGCCCAGACTAAGGCAGAGAGATACAAAGGGCATAAGGCCCACACTCCAGGGAAATCCAGAATCGAGTCAAATCTTTACAAAACACAGGACTCAGGGACCCTGTGAGGATTCCTGAGCCCCTACATTGTTCTTGAGTGGCTTTGTAGATCCAGAGATCATTCCTGGTTCTCTCAGGGCTCCCATATTATACTAGCCTGGGTCCTTGTGACCAGCCAGTAAGCGTTGTCCTTACAGTTAATTCTGATGAATCACTGTTACAGCACCTCAGTCTCTCTCCAGGCCTGCAGTCCTGTCTGGACCTCACTCGGTGACGAGGATTCAGTTCTCCCATGGACCTACGGGGGGTCTTTTGAACTTACGCGTATGCCTGGCTCACACTTCAGCCCTACGTTTGAATGGACAGTCTGCAAGAGAGCCATTGCCTCTTGCCACTTGACATCTAGGGTCCCTGCTGCTGGGCCTCTCAGAACTGAGGCAGAAGGTTGCCTGGCTAATGGCTGAGCTTATGATAACTTTGGACTCTGTTAAATCTCTTCAGTCTCATTTTACAACCATTTCTACCCCACGCCCACCCCCAACCTTGCTGTACTTCAGTCACTCAGTTTCTGCAACACACCAAGCTCTTCCGCACCTCCGGGCCCTGTAACATGCTGCCTCATAGAGCACGCTTCCCTCTCCCATATTTGCCTAGCAAATGTCTGTCTGTCCAGATCTGTCCATCCTCCAGATCTGCAGCTAACTACCTTTTTCTACAGGAAAGTTTCCTTAACTGCCCTGACTGGTTCAGATCTCTCTATCATACTTACATCATCTTCTTTCATAGTATTTATCATAAAATTGTTTCATGTCTGTTCCTTTTCTGGACTGTCGGTCAGCTTTGCTCCATGTGGCCAGGGTCACGTTTGTCTTGCTCAGCACTGTAACCCTAGCACCTTGCACAGTGCCCGGCACATAGTAGGTACACAAATGTTGACATTAACAATGTGCCTAAGCTGCTCAGCTTCGTTGTTTGATTTCATATTTGCCCTGAGTCAGTACCTTAGATCCTGACCCAGTCCTAATCTAGGTCTTGGGTCCATCCTTCCTAGGTTTTGCATCAACTCAACAATATGGTCCTAACATGCGTTTTCGGTCAGTCTCTTCTGCTTACTGCCACTAGCTAAGAGCCACTATACCTTCGTCCCAAAGAACAATGAAAAAGGAAAGTGTTTGGAAGGCCTAGAAATCAAAATGTAAACCGGAACAGATTTCAAAATGTAAAATTGAAAGGGGAAATTATTCTCCTGAATTCTACCTCTAGGTCTT